TTATTTTAAGATTATATTCTAAAAAAGTGATTCTAAGAAAATATTCTTAATATAAGAAGATTCTATTCTTAATTTAAGAATATATTCGTAGCGCCTATTTAAGTCTCGCATATTCTTAAAATAAGTTGAAAATTCTTAAAATTAGAATATCGTTTTTTCGGTGTTAACACAAAAATAAATATTTTATTTGTATTTAATAAATATTTATTTTTTGTATCAAGTAAATATTTATCTGTATTAAATAAATATTAATTTGTATTAAGAAAATATTTATCTAATAAGAAAATCGCCCAAATGTAATACCTTCTCATTATGATGAGAATGTAAAAAAAAATATAATATAGGTAAATAAATATCTAATAAATATTTAGTTAATAATTAATCGTTTATTTGAATCAAATAATTTTTTATTTTTAATGGATAAATGACAAAAACATTGGATTTATAATTTAAAAATTAGTATTATATAAACAATGTAATATTGAAATTTATAATTGTTATTATTAATTGACGAACAGATGCTTCAAGATACACAAGTTATGTATCTACCGCCTTCATCAAAAGTTATTTTAAACTGACCAACTTGGAATATTGACTATATAGAGGTTCTGAGTTTTAATAAGATGACGAGAAATATTTACTCAACTCAGTCAACTTAGATAATTTCCCCTTTCATAAACTATCTATCAATATTAATTCATTAAGTTTATAATTTATTAGAAAAAAAATAATTAGAAATTAACAAATTCATAGCAAAAAAGAAATATTTTTTTTTAAAAATAATTATAATAATAACATATTTATCTTTTTGAGAAAATGTAATTATTTAATTAAAAAATTATATATATGATTGTGAAATTTTTAATGAATTAATTGATGAGAAATTTATAAATAAAAATAACAAAATTGGAATATTTTTAACAATACCATCCAGCTATCAAGTGAATAGCATTGAATTGCTAAGTGATTGTGTGGATGCGTCAATTAATTGATTAATTGGTTAACCCATTGGTTAGTTAAGCAAATCATTCCAGGAAATCGCGTTAGTTTATGCACTGAATTGCTATATATAGCCATTATATGCTAATCAATCATAAATCTCTTTTCATGACCTTATTAAATGAAGGGAACATATTATCTTTAACATAAATTCTATATATCCATGTATAATTAGCGAAGTTTAAAATTTTTATCAATAATTAAAAATTCAATTAAATTAATACTAAGAAACAATTGAACTGATTTTTTTTATAATTATACATTTTCAATATTTTTTAATAATAATTTATAATAATAATAATAATAATTAATAAAAATAATAATTTTTATTACAAAAATTTCGAATTTAATTAAAAAAATCTAAATTTTTAATAAAATGGTACTAATTAATGAAATTAAAATTTCATTTTCAATATAATAGTTAAAAGCGAAATAAATTTTTAAAAAAAGTGAAAATAGAAAAATACATCTGTCTCCCTCTCTCTCTCTCTATATATATATATAAAACTAAATAAAAAAGAGCAATTTTATTGTCGAAATAGTTCAGGAGTTATGGTTTCATGTTGTGCTTTTTTTTTGCGAGTAAAAGAAATACAAGCGAAAAAAAAGTATACTGTAAAATTTAGAGAGTGAAAATAAAAAGGACAATTTCAGAGAATTCTTTACTTCAATATATATCTATACATATATACATATTCAGCAAATTTTACAATTTCTTTCTCTATACTCTCACTTGAACAAAATACTATCATTTCTATTCTATTCGTAAGGAAAACTTTTTCATTCAAATCATAAAAGTGTGTGACAAACAAAAAATCATCTAGCTTAACCTTAAAGATATATTCTTTCTTTTTGAAAAATATGTTAAATTCAAGAAAAATTATTTGCTTTAGTACACCAAAAAGAAAGAAAAAAAAAAAAGCCTGTTTGATTTTTCACACGTAGTTTACTCAAAGACTCATAGAAATTTTTATTTGAAAGAAAACGCGAGTGAACGGTGAGGTAAAACCAAGGGTACTTTGTGAGCAAATTGTCTGTTTATCCAAAGAATATATAAAACGACCAAAACAATTCAACTCAATATAATATATAAAGAATTCTATATACTTATTGGAACATTTAAGAGGAAAAACGAAAAAAAAAAAAATAAAATAAAGTGTAGAATATTGTCAAAATGAAAAATTTTATTTGCAATTTTTGATTTGATAAAAAAAGAATTACTTGAATCGTTTTTCTTGAAATTATAGAATAAAGATTTTTGTCTGACTGGAAATTACTTTTTCTACTGATAAAAATAGTCTGACGAAAATTATCTACTACTTACTGTTGATTGAAACATTTTATGAACTTGTCTGATCAAAACTTACTTTTTCTACTTATGGGACAAGTATTCGAAAAAAGCATTGTCTGACTAAAACTGACACTTACTACTAGTTTATTGAATTAAATTACATGTTAATAATATTTTTTTTAATAATTAAAAATTGTCTGACTATAAATTACTTATTCTACTGAAAGGCGTCTGACCAAAAATGTATTTTTCTACTTATGGGACAAGTATTCGAAAAAAGTATTGTCTGACTAAAACTGACTCTTACTACTAAATACAGTAGAAAAATGGATGAAATACAATTGTCTGACTGTAAATAACTTTCTCTACTGACAAATGAAAGTAGTCTAACGGAAACTAAGTTTTTAGTACTTATTATTCGTGTTTCAAGAATTTAAAACTACGTTGTCTGAACAAACATGTATTTTTCTACTAATTACAATGATAAGAGAATTTGAATTGTCTGACTAAAACTGACGCTTACTACTAGTTTATTGAATTAAATTAAATGTTAATAATATTTTTTTAATAATTAAAAATTGTCTGACTATAAATTACTTATTTTACTAAAAGGAGTCTGACCGGAAATGTATTTTTCTACTTATTTCATTGGTATAAGTATTCGAAAACGTATTGTCTGACTAAAACACACTTTTTCTACTGTTAATAAAAAATGAGTTTGGGGTAAAAAAATATAACTAAATAGTAATATTCAAAAATATGAAATAAATAATATATTATATATATTATTATTTGATTTACTAGGTTTTAATTTTTTTTTTTACTAAAGTTTTAGTAAAAAGTGACTAAAAATTAGTAAAAATTCTTACTGATATAGATTAGAAACTCAGTTTTTACTAATTAATAGTCACTAATTTTTAGTCACATTTTAACTTTTGTATTAAAAAAAAGATTAAAAACTACTAAATCAAACAGGAATATAATTAATATAAAATATAATTTGTTATATATTATTATTTATAATATAATTTAATTAATAAAAAAAAACTAATATAATTAGCCGGAGGAATGAAAAATTGTCCTTTTCGAAAAAAATATTAATTATTATCGCTTTCTACAATCTAAATTTGAATTAGTAATAAGTGAGCCACTAATTTACATTAGTAAGAAATCTACTATCTAAATCTGAATCAGTCATATTTCACTTATTAGCAGTAGAAATCTACTAATTGCCATAGCGAGAATTGAGCAACTTATAATTACTCTCTAAATCTGAATTAGTAAAAAAGTTTACTAATTTGAATTAGTGACTAATTGTTTGCTTTTGAATTAGTAAAATTGAGGGTTCACATACAATAAGGGGACGCGCAGTATTTTCGTTAGCCCCTCGCGCAGCCGCAGAATCGCTGTACGCGGGGACTTTCACTTTCATGCGTATCCCCTTATTGCATGTGAACCCTCAATTTTACTAATTATTAGTAACTTTAACTAACAATTAGTAAAATTTAACTAATTATAAAGCAAAAAGTGAGTCACTAATTTAAATTAGTAAACATCTTTACTAATTCAGATTTAGAGAGTAGTAGAAATTTACTGATTCAATTAGTAAAATATCAATTACTGATTGAATCACTTATATAAATATATGGCAGCGGTCACAAAATCTACTGATTTAACAGTTAATTTTAAAGGTTATGTTATATACAAATTACTGATTTACATAAGTTCTTTTCTATTGCTTGCATATTTACTAATTATATTAGTAAAATTTCAAAAAATAACTGAAACTTCAGTTAAAAAATGAAAAGTACTGATTGAATTAGTACAATTTCTACTGATTCAGATTTAGAGAGTGATAAAATGTTATCATCCCAAAATTACGCCAACTCTGGCTCCAATACTGGGTGCCAGTACTGCGCCAGTATTGCGCCATTAGTAAATTTTTGCTGTTAAATATTTACAATCAGTAAAAATCACTGCTAAAAAAAAAAAATTCTAAAATATGTATTTCAAGTATAACAATTTCTCTAAAATCGAGAACCAAGAGAGAATATGCATACACTACAATGTAGATTATAACATCGATTTACAACCGTGAATCACGATTCATCTGCATTTGACGTACCATTGCCCTCTCCTCTCTCTCTCTCTCTCTCTCTCTCTCTCTGTAAATTCATTCCCCAGCGGATCCAAAAGAAAAGTTGCTCGACCCATGAACGAAATGTCTTGCCTTGGGAACATTGGTCCAGCTATACATATATATATATATATACAGAATCCTACCAGGAGTACCGCTCATCAAGCGAAGAGTATGAGTAGCAATAGGAATAGGAACAGCGAACAGGTAGAGGTCGGTGCGGCTCAATGCTGATCGTAGAAAAAGAGAGAGAGAGAGAGAGAGAGAGAGTAGTGGGGGGGATAGTACGTATGTATCCATCGTATATGCGGGTGATGGTGGATGAGAACATTGAGTCTGGGGGGGGGGTGGGTTCGTGGCGTCGGGGATGGATTCGCTGGGGTCGCTGGAGCTCGAGTGCGAGCCCAACGTACACGCCGGGAAAATTTCAAGAGAAGGGAAGGGTCTGGGTTTGGCCGGGTCGCGACGGCTGCTGCGCAAGCAATAGCAGACAAGCCTTGCTAGCTCCCCACCATTCCCCCACCCTTTTACCCCACTTCCATTTTACCCCTCCTCATGCCATTCCGATATTCCAAACTACCCCTCAGTCCCCGGACAAGCTTGCAGAGTCGTTCCTTCCTTCGTTTCGTGAGTTTCCCTTATATGACAACAACAAACGTTTTTATTTTCAAATTTGTCAAAAAATAATTTTCTATTTTTTTGTAAAAAAAATTGTGATCGCCCCCTCCCCATCCCCTCCGAACCACAAAAAAAAATAATTTAAACCACAATACAAAATGATTTGTTGTTCGTGTATTGCGTGCGAAACAGGATAATGAGACTCGTGGTAGCTTTGGTGCCAGTGGTGGGATATCAGTGAAACAAAATCCTCATCCCCCTTCCGCGTGTGCCAAGGCCGAGGTGTTCTTACCCTTCAAAAAAAAAAATAAATAAATAAAATAATAATAAACTACTGCGAGCCAGTGCCGCCTGTCCTAACACAGAGTTCTTAAAACATTGCTGATCATTGGACATGTAAGTAATTCATGTATATATTTTTTTTTATTCCCCTCACGAAAAAGTGGGAGGATAATCTGGAAAAATTGTCCATTTGTACGATCAGAGGGTAGGGGGGGAGCAAACGGGGGGGGGGTTGAAGTGAAAGGAGCATATAGGAGCGCGCGAGCGGAAGAGATGGAGGATATAGAGCGAAAGAGTTGCAGAGAGAAAGAGAGAGAGAGAGAGAGAAGATAGGACTAACGAAACTCGAAAACATATTCTGGGGAGTGTTCTGCTGTATGGGTTTCAACGACGAAGGAAAGAATTCATTTCGAGACAATTAGAGGAGGAAATGATTCGTCAACTGAATAAGAGAGGGTTTGCCGTATACATATATATATATATATATATATAAATACGTTGTCTCGACGAGCTTTTTGTAGTCTCGGAACAAAAAAAAAATTGTTTTTTTTTCGTTGAAAAAATTATTTTTTTAAAACATTAGGAGGAAACCCAACAGAAAATACAAAAAAAAAATTATTTGATTCAAATAATCGGTTACTTGACTATTATCAAATAAATATTTATTTATACAAAAGAAATATTTATTTGTGTCAAAGAAATATTTATTTCTACCAAAGAAATATTTGTTTATGTCAAATAACTTTTATTTGTACCAAATAAATATTTACTTCTATCAAATAATTATTATTTGAATCCAAGAAATATTTATTTGTATTCAAATAATAATTTAGAGTCAAATAAATGATATTTGTTTCAAATATAGAAATTATTGGTTCAAATAAAAATATTAAAAATAAAAATTATCTGTTTAAAATAATCGTTTATTATCAAATAAATGTTTATTTATACAAAATAAATATTTATTTGTATTAAAAAATTATTATTTGAATCAATTAAATGGTATTTGTTTAAAATAGAGAAATTAATTGTTCCAAATAAAATTTATTTAATTGAAATAATTTGTTACTTGACTATTATCAAATAAATATTTACTTATACCAAATAAATATTTATTTATATCCAAATAAATATTTACTTACACCAAATAAATATTTATTTATATCCAAAAGTTATTATTTCAATCAATTAAATAATATTTCTTTCAAATACAGAAATTATTGGTTCAAATATATAGTTTATTTAATTCAATTAGTTAGTTTTCAAATTTAATAATAATTTTTTTCGTTTGAAGTTAACTTCAATTGTAAAAAAATAATTTTATAAAAAATATCGACTATTCTATTAAAAAAGAATTCAATTTACTTATTTTATTTTCCTTCACTTGGATTTTAATTAATAGGAAAAAAAAATTGTCACAAAAAAATAATTCGTAATGGAAATTTGCAATAATAATTAAAAAATTACATTTTTTTTTATATATTTGAAATCCGTTATATGGTGAGAAATTTGAAATTTCAAAAATAGAATTGAATTTTTCAAGCACCGCATATAAAACGTCTATCAATTCTGAGACTAAATTAAATTTCAAATTCATACGTATATTGAAGGTGTGTACTCTAAAAACGTCTATTTGAATTTTCAAGTTAATTTTTTTTTTTTTTTTCTAAATTCATGCAAGAATTATTTTTCAAAAATAATTTTTTGTGTTTAATTTTTCAAAAATTCGTACTAATTCATTTTTTTACTCTTCCTGCCAAATTGCAGGATTTGAGGAACAAAAAAAAAAATAGTTAAAATGTTTACTAATTTAAATTTTCAAGAAAATGCAAATTTTAACATTCTCTAATTCAATTTTAACAATTTATTCAATTTCTCCTTGACTTTTCGGTTGATGAAAATGTTTCCTGACATTCACGCTTCAGACATGTTCAAACCCTTATATATATAGAATATATAGCGCAACGTAGAGATTACTCTCAATAAACAATGAGATCGTGTTAAAGAAATTAGAATTTGAATATTTAAAATGTAAATATTCAAAAGACTTGGGGATAATCTATTAAAATGTAGTTTTGTTATACAAACACAATGATTTCAGAAACAATACTTAAATTAAGAAAGTCCAAAAAAAGTAATATTACACTGAAAAAAAAAAAAATTATTTTATTCAAATAATAATCGGTTACGTTATTATCAAATAAATATTTAATTAAACCAATAATTTCTATATTTAAAAAAAATATCTAATAATTATTTAAAATAAATAAATATTTCTTTGATACAAATAAATTTATTCAGTTTATTAATAATATATCAATAATAATAATATTAATAATTATTTATTTGTATCAATTATTATTTGAGTGGTACTTTTTTCAAAATACAGAAATTATTGGTTTAAATAAAAAAAATATTTCGTTCAAGTAAATATTTATTTAGTACAAGCAAATATTTATTTGTTTCAAATAAATATTTTTTTGATGTCAAGTAATTGAATAGTTAAATAAAATAAATTTCTTTTTTTTCAGTGTGTATATTAAAAATTTTCACCTGAATCAAAAGTATAATCAATATAAATTCAATTTCTATAACTTTTGTAAAATATATTGAAAAATGTATGACGCGTTGTAAGTTGGAAAGATTGTGGCAATAAATTTGTGCTGAAAACGAATTTACATTGAAGATCCGATGGAAAAACAGCACTTTGGAAATATGAATAAGTTTTTTTTTTTCTCTTTTTCCTTCTTCGTTTTCTACATCGTCATCTTAAGACAATATTGACACAAACACTAAGAGGGAAGTAGAAAGTGCAATTTTATGCTAAAAGAACTCTATAAGGAAACGTTGCGAACGAGTAGAATTTCTGATAGAGAAAACTACATATCTGGGAGGATTTTTTTTTTCTCCCCTCCTATATATTCCATTTCTTTCATCAAAAATTGCCAACAATACCAAAACAGATTTCATTCACCAAGAGACTGATTTTTTTTTCTCTAATAAGCTTAAAATCCAATACCCAGTGCGTGAAACAGAAGTTCCATAACTTGTCTATTTAGTATTCAATTTTTTTTTTTTTATGAATTTTAGACTTTAATATAGAATTTCAAATGTATAATGAAAATGGAAATATGAGAGAAGAATACAGGATGAAAGCAAATTTTTTTTTTTTTTTTAATATAAAAAAGTTGTAGAAAAGTTGTGCAGGTTTTTTTTTCAAGATAAAAAACAAAAGTTCGATTAATTTATTTCAAGTTTGATGAAAAAAAAAAGAAAACAAATTTCGTCGGATTCTCTATATTTTAAATTAAAGGAAACTTTTAGCAAGTCTAATGAGCATTTTTTTTTCTGTTTTCACGCTTGACTATATACATTAATAACAAGAAGCGATAAGCGGATGATATACAGAACTCTCGTTGCTCTCAGAATAATGATGAAACATAATTGAATAGGTTATTAACGCAAAATTCTTCAACGTTATATGGATGCAAATTAATAATGTCGTTCATCAATTACAATAGAGATTTGTATAATCTACTTTAGTGGGGAAAAAAAAAAATTTATTTGATTCAAATATATAATTGATTATACTTGATTATTATCAAAATATTATTTAATTGAACCAAATAAATAAATTTACTTGAAACAAAAATTAATTTTTACTTGATATTTATTTGTTTTAAATAAATTTTATTCGCTTTAAATAAATGTAAAAAAATTTCTCTGAGTGTGAAATTGGTAAAACCTTTTTTTTTCATTTTATAATAACCAATAATTTATAATTAGTAGTAAAAAGTACTTTTAGTCAGAAAAAAATGTTTTTAATGCATTTAACTGAGATAGCAGCGGTAAAAACCATTTTTGTACAAAAAAGAACAGTGTTAATTCAGCATTGAAATGGCTATAACATAACCTCAACTTTATCACCCAGTTGAAAATAAAAATTTCAAATATGAGGTTTCATCAAATATTTCTTTTTTTTTTTTTGGTCAAATGTATAGATAGAGAAAAAAAAAGTTTTTAATATAACTGCAATGTCAGTAGTAAAAACAAGTTTTGGTCAGACAAAATAGTTCTAATTTTGCTATTTTTTTTTACATTCAATAATTTAGTCAGGAAAAATTAAATTTTGCAAATCAAAACAAACTATAAATAGAAAATTTTTTTTATAAATTAATAATTCAATATTATTTAATTAGTTTTTCAATTAAATAATTTTTTTTACAATATGAAAATTAATTTTTCAATATAAAAATTAATTTTTCATTTTTATTTCTTGTAACAAAAAATTATTAATATATGAAAACTCATAAAAAAAAAATTAACATTTATTAAATACTGAAGTTTAATATTAAAAAGAGATAAATTTACACAAGTAATATACATTTTCATCTAAATGTCTGTTAGCATAAACCCCAACTCCCTATTCTCTTAATATGGACCGGAGAGACCGGAACACTAATCTTCAGTGTTCCGGTCAAGACGAATATATATATATATATATATTCTGACTAGTTTATGGTTATTCCGGTCTACGGGAACCCATCCTAACTGTACATTTAACTTCTTGGCAGATTTCCATACTTGATAATTCACTTTTTTCTCAAATTAAAAACCATAATATCATTTTTATCATTACCATCGTATATATATAGAATATATAGATAACCATTTATGAATTTATTAAAAAGTCCCGCAAATTAAATTACTAAAATAAATATTTATTTCAATTTATTTATTTGGAGTAAATAAAATTTTTTATTTAACTCAAAGAAAAATTTATTTAAATCAAATAAATATTTATTAGTCTATGATACAAATATAAAATTTCTCTGGATGTAGTGTGCAAAAGGGAATTTTTAATTACTGAATAAATAGTTAATAATAATAATAATAAGAATAATAATAATAATAATATAATTCTTTTTTAAAATTATTTTTCTTTGTAATGATAATTAAATTTTTTTTTAAATTTCTAATTAGAATTAATGTTTTGTCAGGTTTCAATTAATGAAAATTAGAAAAAGAAAAAGAAAAATAATTATAATTCCATGTTACAAAGAATATAATTTTTATATATAAATGAAAATACTGTAATTTTTTTTTTTTTTTTA